GTTGGCATCGATTGTAGAACCAAGCAACGTGAATTCCTTGACAACCTCAATCTCCTCTCCATTTATTGTGATGCTGCTCATTGGTCCAGTTGTGAGGGTGCAACAAATATATTTATATTTAATTCCTGTTGATGGATATTTGGGTTGCTTGTTGCTTCCTTCTTTTTTTAAAATCTATTTTTAATAACATTGCTGGGAATATTGTTATTTGTATTTCCTGGTCAATTCCCTACACTTCCTGTTAGGTATATACCTTGGAATAGGGCTGCTGATTCATAACCTGTGCACATCTTCAGTATTAGTAGATAGTGTCAAACTCTATTCCAAAGTAATTACACTAATTTATACCTCCACCAGTATACCAGCAATATGTGAGAATTTCTGTTACTCAAATCTTCACCGGCACTTGGTATATTGAAAAAAAAACAAAAAACAAAAAAAACCTCACTGCCGTCCAGTCGATTCCAACTCATAGCGACCCCTTCTTAGGTTTCCTAGGCAGTATCTCTACAGAAGTAGATTGCCCAACCTTCTTTCCAAGGAGTGGCTGGTACAGTCTTTTTAATTTTAGCCATTTTGATAGGTTGCACTGGTGGTATTTCATTATGGTTTTAATCCATATATTCATAAAGTTGAATATCTTTTCAAATGTTTTTCTAGTTATTTGGATTTCTTCTTTTGCAACTTGCCTGTTCGAGTCCACTTTGTTATTTTTTCTAGTTGATTTTTTTAAAAAAAGCTTTTTATTGTAATTTCAGGGAAAGTTTACAGAGTACATTGGTTTTCATTCAACTGTTCATATACATTTTATTTTGTGACATTGAGCGCAGTACCTCACAATCTAACAGCACTTTTCCCACATCCCCTCCCTGTGTTTACCATTTCCATTCATCCTTCTTTCCCACCCATTCCTGCTTTCTGAGCTTTATTACTGGGCAAATGTTGCCCTTCTGATTTCATATGATTTCTAGTTGATTTTCAGGAGTTTGTTGGTAGTTACATGTACTGCCAACATCTTCTCTCATTCTATAGGATTCCTTTTTGTTCACTAAATGGTATCTTTCAATAAAGTTCTTAATTTTAATGTAGTCTAATATAGCAATCTTTTCCTTTATGATTATGGTTTATATTCTGTTTTTAAGTGTTCCCTACCCTCAGAAAATGAAGATAAGTCTTACATTGTCTCCTTAGATTGTTTTTCCTACTTTTACTTTTTGGAATTAATTTAGCTCCAAATGGACATTCAACTGTCCCAGCATCATTTTCCTTCTTTTTTTTATTATTTTTTAGATCATTCCCCTCAATGTTCTACAGTGCCCGTGTATGTGTGGGTCTGTTTTTGAGGTTCCTTACTCAGTTGCTTCCTTATTCAGTTGCTTATTCAGTTATTTGTTCAAGGAGTTCTGGTGGCATGGTGGAAAACTCATTTGGCTTCTAAGCAGAAGGCCAGCAGTTCAAACCCACCAGCCTCTCTGCCTTGGAAAGATGGGGGCTATCTACTTCCGTAAAGATTTACAGCCTCGGAAACCCAATATGGGTTGCTCTGATTCAGGCTCAACTCCATGGAAGTAAGTTCGGTTTGGTTTTATTCAGTTGCTTAGATGTTTGTCTATTCATGCACCAATACAACACAATCTATTTCTATAGCTTTCAAAGAGATCCTTCCACTTTAGTTTTCATCTAAAAGCATGCTTTGATTGGTTTGTATTGCTTGGTCAGTAAATATTAGAATCTGCTTGTTAAGTTCCCTCCTCCAATAGCTTCCCCCTGAAGATTTTTATTAGGATTGATTATGGGGATAATTGATGTCGGTACAGTACCGAGTTTTCCAATTGGTGAATATGATGCATATCTTTGCATTTATTAAGATTAAAATTTTACTTTCTTCGTTTTCTGTGTAGAGATCTTACACATTTCATTTATTTTTAAGGACTTGATTTTTTATGCTTTTAAAATGTTATATTTTTAAGAATCTAATATCTTTTTTTTGTGTTGCTGGGATATAGAAATACATAATTTTTTAATAGTTTTTGTTTCCAGCAACCTTGTTAAACACTCCTGTTAGTTTTATATACTTGTATGTAGATCCCTTTGGATTTTCTAATTTATATTTGGACCCATGAAAAATGTAATTTTTTTTCCCTCTTCATTCTTTATGCCTTTTTTTAAAAAAAACAACTTTATTGCAATGAGTAGGACCTTCTGTACAATGTTAAGGAAAGTAGTTAGAGCAGACAACTTTGCCTTGTTCCCAATTTAAATAGAAAGCTTTGAATGTTTCAATTTTAACTATTCATTAACTATTAGAGTGTTTGTTGTAGGTTTTGAGTAGAAGAACTTTATCAGGTTAAAGAAATTACCTCCTATTTATAGTTTGCTAAGAGCTGTTTTTCACAAAGGCATTTGACTATGTGGGTCGTAATAAATTATGGATAACGTTGAGGAGAATGGGAATTCTAGAACACTTAGTTGTGCTCATGCAGAACCTGTACACAGGCAGAGAATACTGCATGGTTGAAAATTAGGAAAGGTGTGCATCAAGGTTGTATCCTTTGACCATGGTTATTCAGTATGTATGCCGAGCAAATAATCTGAGAAGATGGACTATATGAAGAAGAATGTGGCATCAGGATGCAGGAAGACTCATTAACACCCCCCCAAAAAAAAACCCAAATCCACTGCTATAGAGTGGATTCTGACTCATAGTTACCCCCATTGAGTTTCCAAGGCTGTAAATCTTGTCTCATCTTCCTTCCACATAGCACCTGGTAACTGCTGATGCTCTGGTAAGCAGCCAAATGCCTTATCCATTATGCCACCAGAGCTCCTTAACAAGAAGACTCATTAACATCCTGCAGTGTACAATTGATAGACCACTGCTTGGTGAAAGCAAAGAGGAATTGAAGTACTTATTAATGAAGAGCAAAGACTACAGTCTTCAGCCTTCAGTATGGATTACACCACAACATAAAGAAAACAACAAAAAAAAAAATATCACAAAAGGATCAATAAGCAACATGAATACTAAGTAATCAAGGATTTCATTTCATTTGGATCCACAATCAGTGCCCATGGACACAACAGTTAAGAAATCAAATGACTATTGTATTGGGCAACTGCTGCAAATGACCTCTTTACAGTGTTTAAAAGTTTAGGATTAAGTTGCGCCTGCTCCAAGCCATGGTATTTTCAATTACCTCATATGCATGCAAAAGCTGGACAATGAGTAAGGGAGATCGAAGATTTGATGACTTTGAATTATGTTGACTGAAAAAAAAAAAGAAAAAAAACTCACCGCCACTGAGTTGGATCCTACTCATAGCGACCCTTCCTTGGGTTTCTGAGGCAGTATCACTATGGAAGTAGATTGCCCACCCTTCCCTCAGAGGAGTGGCTGGTGGGTTTGAACCACCAGACTTCTGGTTAGCAGTCAAATGCCTTAGGCACTATGCCACCAGAGGTCCTATGTTGCTTAAGAATAATGAATATACCATGGACTGTCAGAAGAAGAAACAAATCTGTCTTGGAAGAAGTACAGTCAGAATGCTCCTTAGAGATAAGGATGGTGAAAGTTTGTCTCATGTAATTTAGACATATCATCAAGAAGGACCAGTCCCTGGAGGACATCATACTTAGTAAAGCAGAGGGTTAGTGAAAAAGAGGAAGACCCTCACATGGATTGGCACAGTGGCTGCAACAACAGACTCAAACATAGCAAAAATTATGATGGTGGTGCAGGACCAGGTGGTGTTTTGTTCTGCATAGTTATAAGGAGCTCTTGTGGCGTAGTGGATAAGACATTGGGCTGCTAACCAGAAGGTCAGTGGTTCAAACCCACCTGCTGCCCTGAGGTAGGAGATGAGGGAATTTACTTCCATAAAGATTTATAGCCTTAGAAACCCAATGGGGTTGCTATGAGTCAGAATGGACTCAATGGCAGTGGGTTTGGGTTTTTTTTTCGGTACATGGGTTTTTATGAGTTGGAAATGACTTGATGGCACCTAACAAGTTGCTTTTTAGTCATAATATAATATTGAACTTTATTACTAATGATTTGTTTAGTATCTATTGGCATAATTATGTTTTTTTTCCTCCTCTAATCTATATCAGTTTACAATATTACATTAATTGATTTTGCAAAGTTAAGTAACCCTTGAATTTCTGGAATAAATCCATTTTGGCTAAAATATGTTTCCCTTTTCTTCTATTTTCTGGAAGAATTTACACTAAAGACCAGTGTTATGTTTTCTTTACATCATTTGTAATATTAGTCATTGAAATATCTACTCCTGGAGTTTTATTTGTGGGAAGATTTTAAATTACAGGCTTAATTTCTTTAATAGATATGAACAATTCAGGGTTTCCTTTTGTGTTAGTTTTCATAAGTTGTATTTTTCTAAAAATTTTTCATTATACAATTTTTTAAATGGCATAAATTTTTCATAATATTATGTTAATTATTTGTGCTTTCTGTTCTGCTTGATCATCTCTATTAGTCTTTTCTTTTTTAAAAAATTTTTTATTATATAGATTTATGCTCTTATCTTTATTATATCTTTCTTCTGCTTTTCTTGGGTTTGCTTTTTTTTTTTAATCTAACTTCTTGGGATGAATGTAAAATTTTAGCCTGTTTTTTTCTAATATGTATGTTTAAAACTTAAATTTTCCTCTAAAAATTACATTAGCTATATACCATACACTTTGATTTGCAGCATTGTTACTATGATTCGGTTCAAAATGTTTTGTTATTTCATTTATGATAGCTCCTTTCATCATAGGTTATTTAGAAGTGTAATCCTTAGTTGAAAACATATAGGTTTTCTCTAGGTATCTTTTAGTTACCAGAATTTTTGCACAGTAGTCATAAAAAATACTCTGTGCCACATCAATCCTTTGAGATTTGTTGAGATTTGGTCTGTGGCCCAGTATGAGATTTTTTGGGGGGAGGGGGCAGAGGGTAACTTTTCTAAGTGTGTTGAAGACAATATGCCTTCTGCTGTTGCTGAATGTGATGTTTTATGTGTATCTATTAGGTCAGTTTATTTATCATGTGGTTTAAATCTTCATTATTTTTCTAAGTTTGAAACTGTTTATTGAATTAATTACTGAGAAAATTGGTTAAAATCTCCCACTTCAATTCTGGATTTCTCAATTTCTCCCTTTAGTTCTATCATTTTTGCTATACATATTTTGAAGCCATGTTATTAGGAGTACAATTTAAGACTTTAAAAATCTTTCCTATAAATTGAACCGTTTATTATGAAGTGATCTTTATACCTGTAATACTGCTTTGCCTTAAAGTTTATTTTTTGTTAACTATTAATGTATTGGTATCAGCTTTTTTGGTTAATGTTTACATGGTATATATTTTTCTAGTCTTTAGTGGTTTTTGAAAACTGAAATATAATTCACCCTTTTAAATTACATAATTGGGTGATTATATACTCATACAAGTTACATATATACATGTGTGTATGTATGTGTGTGTATACACACACACACACATTCATGGTTATATATACATATATTCACAGAGATGTGCAACATCACCACTATCTAATTCCACAACATTTTCATGTCCCAATAAACTCCATACCTATCAGCAGATCAGCAGTCACTTCTCATTTCTTAGAAACCACTCACCTACTCTCTGTCTCTAACGATTTGCCTATTCTGGTCATTTCATATAAATGATTTCATTTCTATGTGGCCTTTTGTATATGACTTCTTTCACTAAAGGGTGACTGTGAGTTGGAGTTGACTCAGTGGCAATGGATTTTAGTGTGATATTTTGGTTTCTTTCATTCAGCACAGTGTTTTCTAGGTTCATCCATGCTGTACCATGTATCAGTATTTCATGCCTTCTCATGGCCAAGTATATTCCATTGTATGGATTTACTCTATTTGTATATCCATTCATTAGTTAATTTTTTGGCTATTATAAATAATGATGCTATATGCACAAGTTTTTATGTGAACATGCTTTCAGTTCTCTTGGGTATATAATATACCTAGGAGTGGATCTTTTTCTTATTCTTCTATAATCCACTTTTCTCTAACTTTATGTTTTAGGTGTGCCTCCTGTAAATAGCACACAAGATTCTAGTTAATCCAGTCATCTTCATATATTACTCTGGAGCCCAACAATATTCTCATATTACCCTGAAGCATTTAGTAATCAAGAAGTGAAAATTATTAAGAGATATTACTTTATACAGTAGTGTGCTGGTGTGGATGTGCATTAGTGAGGACATTTATACAGTTGTGGTAGTTACGGTTGTGTGTCAACTTGGCTGGGCCTGGTTGAGTGGCTGGGCAGCTGGATATAATTATTCTCCATGGTGAGATTGATAATTAACTCCATGATGGAATCTACTGGAGCAGCAATGTAGCTGCTTTAGGGATATGGGCTGCTTCCAGTATATAAGAAGCAGCTTCGAGGAAGGTCTCTAGCTTTCTGGCATGCTTGAATGCTGCATGTAGCCAAGTCATTGTTCAGCAGCCTGTGGTGCCCTGCCTATTTTGGAACTTCTGGATTTGAATTAGTGGCCTGCCATATTGTTTGATAACATTGGGACTGTGCCTTTGTACTTGTTGACCTTGCGTTTGTCAGTCTGAGCAGCCAGCAGCTGCCTGAGTGAAGCCTTCAGCTTCAGTGGGCTGGGAGCAGGCGGCAGAGCTGAAGCTTAAGGTTGAGGGGCTTTCAGCTAGCCTCTAGAGCCTGGCACTTTGAACTCGGACTTAAAGCCTCCAAACTGTAAGAGAATAAACTCCTGTTTGTTAAAGTCATCCCATTTGTGGTATTTTCCTGTCAGAGTGGCACTAGATAACCAAAACAACAGTGTTAGTAAGAATATAAACAGGCACATTCACTTTGGAAACCAATTTGGTACTATCTTGTAATTTTGAACATTCACATACACTATGATCCAGAAATTCTACACTTAGATATTGTTATAGACTGAATGTGTCCTCCAAAAATTTATGAAGTCCTAACCCCTGTACCTAGGAATATGACCATGGTTAGAAATAGTCTTTGAAGATCACTTACATTAACATGAGTTCACACTGGGATCAGGTGGGTCCTAATCCAATGTAAGTGGTGTCCTGTAAAGAAGAGAAGAAATACAGAGAAGGATAGAGTGAAGATGTTCATGTGTAATTACACTGCAGCTACAAGCCAACGAATACCTGGGGCTGTCAGAAACCAGACAAGAAAGAATCCTCCCCCTGGACGCTTCAGAGAGAACATGGCTCTGCCACCCTGAATTTGGACTAGTTTCCACAACTATGAGTTATAAATGTCTATTCTTATAAGCCACCCAATGTGTGGCACTTTGTTACAGTACCTCTAAGGAGCTCTGGTAGCATAGTGCCTAAGGCACTTGACTGCTAACTAGAAGGCTGGCGGTTCAAACCCACCAACCACTCCTCGGAAGGAAGGTTGGGCAATCCTACTTCTGTAGTGATACTGCTTCGGAAACCCAAGGAGGGATCGCCATGATTCAGGGCCAACTCAATGGCACATAATAACAACAACAAAGAAACTAATACAGATATATATCCAACAGAACGGGAGATAATGGTGGCATAATGTCTAAGGCATTTGACTGCTAACCAGAAGGTTGGTGGTTCAAACCCACCAGCCACTCCTCGAAAGGAAGATTGGGCAATCTACTTCCATAGTGATACTGTCTTGGAAACCCTAAGAGGGGTCATTGAGTCGGATCTGACTGATGGCAGTGAATTTGTTTTTTTTTGGTTTTTATCCAACAGAACAAATTCCACCTGAGTACCAAGAGGTAAGAACAAGAATTTAAAAAACAATATTGCTACTAATTGCAAAAATCTGGGACTCAAATATCACATTCTTTAGAATGGAGAAGTAAATACTGGCAAAGTTATGTATTTGTCAGTATATAAAATACTTCCTTCTTTATAGAGTTATATTATTTCCCATGGTATAGATTGGTATGGATACACTATGATTTACCAATGGAAAGTTAGGTGATTTTTTTTTTAATTGTTATTGTGATTTGGTAGCATAGTGCCTAAGGCATTTGACTGCTAGTCAGAAGGCTGGTGGTTCAAACCCACCAGCCACCCCTCAGAAGAAAAGTTGGGCAATCTACTTCTGTAGTGATACTGCCTCGGAAACCCAAAGAGGGGTCACTGTGAGTCAGATCTGACTCGACAGCAATGGTTTTTTTGTGTGTGTGTGATTTGAATGAAAGTTAACAGAGCAAATTCATTTTCCACACAGCAGTTCACACACATTTTGTTTCATGACATTGACTACAATTCCCCACAATGTAACCAGGTCTCTTCCCACTTCCTCCCTGTAGTTTCCTCTTCCCTGTGTCCTTCTTTCCTGTGCATTCCTGCCCCCGCCTCAGAGCTATCTCCTTGTGCAAATATAGCCCTTCTGTTCTCCCACAATTGATCACTCCAAGGAGTGTATCTACCTAATGTAAATGTTCACCCTATATGCCTGTCTATTGTTTGGCTGGAAGCCACAGGAGTGAGTTCAGTTCCAGACCTGAAGGGAAACTAGAGACAATCGTCTTGGGGTCCCACCAGGCTCTATCAGACTAGTAAAGTTGGTCTTTTTTTTTTTTTTTTATGATTTTGAGTTTTGTTCCACATTGTTCTCCCACTCTGTCCAGGATCTCCTATACTGATCCCTTTTTGCAGTCAAACCAGAACTTCAAATGGAAAAACAAAAGTAAACCTTAAAGAAGGGTCTTGAATAATAAAGTTGTTTTTTTTTTTTTTTTTATTGGG